ATATAAAAATGATATGTATATGTGATTTCGATAAAGTTGTCATTTTGTGAGACTCAATAACGTAAGAAAAAAAATATAATTTTTCTAGAGAAAGACAGTATTTTATTTTAACGCATAACATTTCTAAGAATGTCCGAACACACAAACGACCGTTTATCATGTGGAAGACAGTGAAACGAAAGTTATTAGTCGTTAATTATCGGCCGTGCGTGACACTGGCAGCTTTAATTAAATCGATTTTTTCGTTCGTCGCAAAACACCTGTCGCATCCGCGATTTTTCACCGGTGATGACTTTTAGGAGAGAACGCCATTACCGGGACACTCATACACTGTGTGGGCTTTGAAAACACCTCCCAGAATCCGTGTGTGTGTGCACACATACACGCACAATAATACAAAACGATCAGGAATAATGCGCAAGTATTCAGTTTATAATACTTTTGTAATTTTATAACTAACGTGGCAAATTTTTTGTTTTTTATTATGAAAATAGTTAACAAATAAAACGTAATAGATATATTTTTTAAATTTAATAATAATTTAATAACAATCGAAAATAAAAAAACAAATAGTTTTAATATATAATCCTTATTTTTGCAAAAAAACATAGTAATTTTTTCAAAACTTTTTTTGCAACGTAGTTGCTATGTAGTGTTTACATAAAGATAAAATAGCTTTGATTTCTCGTATTTGTTAGAGGATTGAGTGCATCTGTTAGAAATATAGTAAGAATTTCCGCGGAAAAATTACTGTTTCACATAATTTTGATGAGGACGGCGAGAGAAGAACTATACGCATGTCACTGCACGCACTGACATTCTAAAAAACGATTAACCCTCTCTTAACCGGGGTTCATTTCTGTTCTCGCGCTCTTTCGAATTCTTACTCACGTCTACAAGCAATAACTCCCACTCACGGTTATAACTCCGCTGAAAGACGGACGACGATCGATAAAAACTGCCATTTTGCAGATAATTGCGAGCGACACGTCGCATCGCCACGTCCGTCTCTTTAATGAGAGACGGATACGCGCTAAGAACCTTGCCATGGCGGTAGAGGTCTTTTGTAACTCTAGAGAATTAGATTCTCTGATTCTTCAAAATACATGTGATATCTCAGTGAAAAAGAAAGAAGAGAAAGAGAGGAAGGGAGAGAGAGAGAGAGAAGCATCACTTTAGTTCGCAATTAAATTAAAAAAAAATATTAAATTTTATTTCTTACAACTGATTGAAAATCATCTAACTAAGTTAAAGATAATAACTTTTTATTTCTAAGAAAAAATTATTTTATTACTCGGAACTAATTATCTTATTAATGCTAAAGGTTTTTTTTAAATTAAATAAAAAAATAGCTAATAAAATTGTATTTTTTATTCAAGTGTTCTTTAATTATTATCTATAATTTGTCAGCAGGGAGAGAAATACAATGCGTGAAAATTTATCAGTCACAAATAACAATGGATAATACTATAAAAAATAAAAAGTTATAACATGTTGCGAAGAGATAGAAATAAACTTTTCTATCTCATTTTAGAATTATTTCTTCTACTCGATCATCGATTTTATCACACGTCTATTTCCAGCAACATCTGTTAAAACGTCAAGAATTTGTACATATCTACTGAAATATGAACTGTAAATTACAGCAAGTCTCGCAAGGCATCGACCCAGATGCAGTAACGAAAAACGAAAGTGGTAATTATCTTATAATTTGACGACACTCATGTGACATATAATTTGTACTACTAATAATATCATTCTAAAAAGACGGATGAAACACGCAAAGTAATGCTTTACTATAAAATATTATCAAAAATCTATTAAAGAAAATAAAACAAGCGTAAAACATTTTATTTTTGCAATCAAAACTTTTATTCTTTTGAAAGTACAAAGATTGTTCCTTAGACAGTTTGCTTTGTGTCTTTTTTAGGAAAGATAATCAACTAACTGACTATTTTTTTTTACTTTCATCCGGCTAGTTTCAATTACGAATTCAACTTTGAACTGTCTTTAAAACAAAGAAAATTTCAGGTTTTCTTTAAAGAATAAGAAAGTAACTTACTATTCGACTTGTCTCTCTATTAGCTTTATGTAAATTCAATATTTATGTAAATCAATTTCACAGAATATATGACGAAAGAATATGTGCTTTACATTTAGAAAGATAAAGGATAATTTCATTTATTAAACTCTATTAAACTCATTTTTAATCTTTATATATGTAATACATATCAGCGTTAATTAATTAATTATTTTATTAATAAATTGATTACTTACTAATTTATTTAATTATTCTTTATTTTATTATTAATTATCTTTAAGTTAATTAATTAATTATTTTATTAATAAATTGATTACTTACTAATTTATTTAATTATTCTTTATTTTATTATTAATTATCTTTAAGTTAATTAATTAATTATTTTATTAATAAATTGATTACTTACTAATTTATTTAATTATTCTTTATTTTATTATTAATTATCTTTAAGTTAATTAATTAATTATTTTATTAATAAATTGATTACTTACTAATTTATTTAATTATTCTTTATTTTATTATTAATTATCTTTAAGTTAATTAATTAATTATTTTATTAATAAATTGATTACTTACTAATTTATTTAATTATTCTTTATTTTATTATTAATTATCTTTAAGTTAATTAATTAATTATTTTATTAATAAATTGATTACTTACTAATTTATTTAATTATTCTTTATTTTATTATTAATTATCTTTAAGTTAATTAATTAATTATTTTATTAATAAATTGATTACTTACTAATTTATTTAATTATTCTTTATTTTATTATTAATTATCTTTAAGTTAATTAATTAATTATTTTATTAATAAATTGATTACTTACTAATTTATTTAATTATTCTTTATTTTATTATTAATTATCTTTAAGTTAATTAATTAATTATTTTATTAATAAATTGATTACTTACTAATTTATTTAATTATTCTTTATTTTATTATTAATTATCTTTAAGTTAATTAATTAATTATTTTATTAATAAATTGATTACTTACTAATTTATTTAATTATTCTTTATTTTATTATTAATTATCTTTAAGTTAATTAATTAATTATTTTATTAATAAATTGATTACTTACTAATTTATTTAATTATTCTTTATTTTATTATTAATTATCTTTAAGTTAATTAATTAATTATTTTATTAATAAATTGATTACTTACTAATTTATTTAATTATTCTTTATTTTATTATTAATTATCTTTAAGTTAATTAATTAATTATTTTATTAATAAATTGATTACTTACTAATTTATTTAATTATTCTTTATTTTATTATTAATTATCTTTAAGTTAATTAATTAATTATTTTATTAATAAATTGATTACTTACTAATTTATTTAATTATTCTTTATTTTATTATTAATTATCTTTAAGTTAATTAATTAATTATTTTATTAATAAATTGATTACTTACTAATTTATTTAATTATTCTTTATTTTATTATTAATTATCTTTAAGTTAATTAATTAATTATTTTATTAATAAATTGATTACTTACTAATTTATTTAATTATTCTTTATTTTATTATTAATTATCTTTAAGTTAATTAATTAATTATTTTATTAATAAATTGATTACTTACTAATTTATTTAATTATTCTTTATTTTATTATTAATTATCTTTAAGTTAATTAATTAATTATTTTATTAATAAATTGATTACTTACTAATTTATTTAATTATTCTTTATTTTATTATTAATTATCTTTAAGTTAATTAATTAATTATTTTATTAATAAATTGATTACTTACTAATTTATTTAATTATTCTTTATTTTATTATTAATTATCTTTAAGTTAATTAATTAATTATTTTATTAATAAATTGATTACTTACTAATTTATTTAATTATTCTTTATTTTATTATTAATTATCTTTAAGTTAATTAATTAATTATTTTATTAATAAATTGATTACTTACTAATTTATTTAATTATTCTTTATTTTATTATTAATTATCTTTAAGTTAATTAATTAATTATTTTATTAATAAATTGATTACTTACTAATTTATTTAATTATTCTTTATTTTATTATTAATTATCTTTAAGTTAATTAATTAATTATTTTATTAATAAATTGATTACTTACTAATTTATTTAATTATTCTTTATTTTATTATTAATTATCTTTAAGTTAATTAATTAATTATTTTATTAATAAATTGATTACTTACTAATTTATTTAATTATTCTTTATTTTATTATTAATTATCTTTAAGTTAATTAATTAATTATTTTATTAATAAATTGATTACTTACTAATTTATTTAATTATTCTTTATTTTATTATTAATTATCTTTAAGTTAATTAATTAATTATTTTATTAATAAATTGATTACTTACTAATTTATTTAATTATTCTTTATTTTATTATTAACTTTATTTATTTATTAACTGATAAAAAGTAATGTGATGTCAGAAAGAAGAAATGTCAGATGCATTACTAATATTTTGTTCAAATTTTGAAAAGAAACATGTAAATATCCAAGGCATTTAGGAAAGGTAAACGGTTAACTCTATTCGACTTATCTTCTTCGTATTAACTTAAAGATAATAACTTTATCCAAGCCATTTTCAAAGCTCCAGCTTACTTTATCTTACAAAGAAGAAGAGAAGTTTCAATTTTATCTTCCGTACAAAGGTAAACAACTAACTTATTACTTATTATTTATTTAATTAATTAATTAATCTTTTTATACTCTGACTTTATATATACACAAGCCATTTAATTTCTTTAAAAAGAAGAAATCTATGATTATATTTTGTTGAAGAGAATTAAATAACTATTGTACCCTTTCGAATACTAATCTACTCACTAATTTGGCGCGAATAGGACACTCTTGCGGTGGACACGCGATCGGCCGTGCGTCTTCTTTCGTCGCGCGGGCCGGGAAAATCCAGGCGCCTGCGTAATGTCAACCACGCGTGCAAGTATATAGAGGGTGACTGCTCACCGCGAGCGTCACATTGCATCCCCGACGTACGTTCATCAAGCTTTACTGAAGTTCGGAATACTTGAGTGGCGGTCGGTGCACCCCAGGTCCAGGCCAACAGATCGGCGCCTTCTCGAAGACACCGGGCGTCGTGCTTGATATCGAGGATCGATCGAGATCGAGCAGTTCCGAAGACGATATCTTCGTCAAAGGACTAGCGGGGACCGGATATCCGAGCGATTCTTTTTCCGAAATCATTTTTCGCATGTCGTAAGTCGAGGTGGATCTATCGGAGCGCGATAAGAACGTACATCCGGCGACAGGATCTAGGATCACGCGCGATTAATATGGGCATCAGCTACATTCCGTTGATCATGGTAGCTATGGTACCGATTATCACTGGTAATTTTGGACAGCGTGTCATGGGGAAAAGGACCTCCGTGGGCAATGATATCGCTAATGTCGATTATCCCGATTACTCTGCCAAATACGACGATTATCCGGTAAGTAAATAAGCATCATTATTAACCGTATGCATGAGTTTAGTATGATTTTATTATATAAATTTTTCTTATACAAGTCTAGTAAAAAAACAATCGTACCGATATATATAAGAAAAACTACGCAAATGCATGCAGGTATAGCTGCAAAAATTCTCTTCTTATTTTTATGTTTCTTTTTATTTATGTTACTTTTTTTTTTGCATTATATATTGAATATTATTACCGGATTGAGTAGTTAATAAAAAGATAGTAAAAATAGAATTCAGTAGAAACTGTAATACGATCGATTTTATTATGAAATGAAAGAGAATCCGACCATACGGTACGAGTACAATGCAAAACTGTTTCTTCGAGTCTCTCTAAAAAAAGTGGGAGTACGAAGGCAATTGTGTGAGAAATCTGTCGAATGTAATTGTCCGTCGACGATTTTTTCTTTTTTTTCTGTCGACATCTGAAAATCGTTGCTTCCCCTTTGATAATTACGTTACGACACAGATTTGTATCTAAAAAGAGACAGTCCGATACTCATTTACGGTATCGCGTTTTGCCACTATTTTATCTTTATTTTCTTTTTTCTCTTATTCGGCGTTTTTAGAATTTCCGTATTACGATATTCTTTATTACATTTCCTGTCATCTCGGAAGAAAATCAAAAAGGTTTTCCGGATTCTCGCAAATATATACTTTATATACGTTCTTCTTTAATTATCGTTTGCGGTCACTTGCGACAGTTCATGCAATCGCCGTTTAAAAGATTATACCGGTACTTTTTACACATAGGATTGGCAATTTGTAAATTTACGATCCTTACACAACATATTGTAGGTCATTCCGGCCAACGTAGGTCAGCTACCGAAATTAATCCTACTAGATCAAAGATTATACGACATTCATATCATAACATAGTAAAATATCCTGTATATTATTGTTAATATATTTCTGTTGCTAAAATTTATATCCCATTATATTTAATTGACGAGTTTGAGTTATATCGCAATTAATTTGATATTTACATATACAAAATCTATCTTTTATTTAAAATATATTTCGCAAATCATGTATCGATATCTGAAACTCGATATAATATCGCGAATACAATACGCAAACTATTATTTGTTACGCGGTTTTTTTTATAGTTTTTTTTTTTTATATACATGTTCGATATATTCGGTATATTTTTTATATTATCAAATATCTGTGATTATTACAAAAAGAAGAAAAAAGAAGTATTACCATCAGGTGACGAGAAAATATTATGAAAAGAAAAAGAATTTAGTTAAAAATTCTCAAGTCACTGTATAATTTTATCACAATTCGATTCGTTGACTCCTTATTTCGTTAATACTGTTATTCAAAGTTTCTTCTCTTCCTTCTCTCTCACAAGTTTATTTCAGCATATAATGTTATACGAATATTCAGCAATGTAATAATAGGTTTATTTAAGAATAAAGATATAACAAATGATACTAAATTTAACGTTACTGTTCTATCAGTAAAAATACATTAATTTATTCTGTAAGAAATATAATTTGCCATTTTAGAAATTTATTAAATATCTTTAAAAATTATTATTTTTGCAAAATTACTGTACTATGCATCGCACGTCAACTTTTTGACAGTATTTAGATTTTATAGTATTTTGGCATTTTATATTCTTTTTTACTTTAATACTCAGGAAAATCTTGTTTTTATTCTTATCTTAATATTATCAAGATCTAACTAAGCTATGATAAACTCTGCTTGCTAGTTTGCAATTAGAGAAACAGTAATGCGTTCAATTTGGAGCAAACTTAATAATATCTTCTTAACTATCTCGCGCCTCGTCTCGTTAATTAAATGAAATGTCACGTTAATTAATCGTAGATCTTTCATGCACGATTGAGTAAAATAATAAAATATCTAATCGCAGTTTGTTCTCGCGAATATTATGCATTTCAAAATTATGCTTACCCTACGAAAACAGTTTGCAAACCGATCGAAGAAAGTCAAACGAAGAAGACTACGACACTGTATCGTTTCAACGACGAACGCCTCGTCCCACTTACTCTGGAATTATTAACTTCGCAGACGTTTCCATTACTTGCTAATAATCGCGTTTCGTTAATTCAATCAGCTACGACTTATGATCTTCTGTTTAGACGGAGACACGTTGTCGCGCAGCTTTGTCGGCGGGTTCATTTCCGTGATCGCCTTTTCGATTAACTTTTTTTTTCGATTAGTCAACAAATTTTCCGAGGATATGCATTAATTCGTTCATCCCGCGACAACCCTATAGTATTGTTATTGCAGATCGAAACATTAAATAAAATATATTTATCTTTTTTATCATTTATAATTGTAACAGCAATATTGAGAAATTCGCCAGTGATGATAAAACAAAAAGCTTGAAAAAATCATATAAAATTTAGATTCTAAATCCTTATAAGGAAAATAATGTTAGTATTTTGATAATAAATGAAAGAAGAAAAAAATTCAAGAATTCTATAATTAAATTTTAATTTCGAAGGATGAGATTTCAATTTTGCAGAATAAAATTTTTATCAATTCCATTTAATTTACTTAATTTTTGGGGGACATAAAGATTATATGTCAATCCTAAAACACTTTCAAAATCATTATTTTTAAACAATTTTTATAATTTGCATTAAAATTTATGTATATATAAAGATATGATGTAATTTATATTTTTAAATTAATCCATATTCGTATGTTGCTACTACAAAAAAATAAGTTTTATTACATCAATAACTTTTTTATTTGTTTTGCTCAAACTTTGTTAGAAATGAAATATTAAATTACTTTTTTTATTATTGTCGCTTTAATCATTCATTCATGGCATTGCATACTAATTAAATATATGTATATCTATAATTGCCTTGTACATTTTTTGTAATTAGAAATTGAAATTAATATATATTTATACTAATTTATACCAATATCTTTCCTCCAAATTTTCTTAATATTTTTAACATTGCTTAAAAATAAATAACAGCATATTATATAATATGCAAGTTAATTTTTTAATCGATATAATAAAATTTATTTTATTTGTTATTAAGTTATATATCTTCTATTGCGCTATCTCTCTTTTTATCAACTTTATTGCTAAAACTATAACGCGCGCGCGCGCGCGTCTAACTTTATTCAATCTAAATATGTCTAATTAGTATAAATTATATATTTGTAGTTGTTATGGCGTTGGCAAGTACTGGATCGAGCAACAAATAATTTATTTTACCTGCGTGACGAGTTAATTAAATCGCGCGTGACTTATTGAAGCATATTCTGCTAACGTTATTGTCGCGTTGGAAATACGTGAAAATATGTGAAAATTTAAAAATGGCTAAATGACATATTTTTACAACTAGAAAGATTTATTTGTCTCGCAATATACAAATATACAGATATATGACATATTTACATTATCGATAATGCGTGTGAAAATATCGCAAACTCGCGCGAAAATGTACGAAATGTTTTGTCACAATTATACGAAAATTTATCACGTGCAGACAATTTTCTCTTTTCTTTGGATTATTCTAATAATATACTGTGTATATTCTAGTGCTTTTTAAAATATATGCTAGAACCAGATATTTTATTTAAAGAATTTCTTAAAGAAAACGCAAACGATTTCTCTTATGCGATGTCAATACGATAATAATTTTGCGGTTATTCCAAACAGACCAAGTGATATTACTCATAACGAGCATTAGACAGGCGTGAGATTGTGCTCTTGTTAGTTACAGCGAACTCGATAGTGTCAAGAGCCGCGAGGTCTATTGTTTCGCTATTTCTGCTCAAGTTTCATTGTATTGTTTTGCGAGTTGCATCGCGGAACATCGGTATAACCCGCTTTGAAATCGCTCACTTATCAGTATCCGAAGAAGCGACAATATATATCTATGGGGTTGGGAGAGACGGCAAAGAGAACATACGACCCTAAATAGAGGAATGAGTATGCAACTGAAGACGTCGCTTATATGTCAGGCGTTGAAGTCTCTCACATTACGTTGCGCGCGTCTGAAAAATAAATATGCATTCTTGCATTCTTTTCATTTCTCATTTCAACAGCTAGCCGTATGAAAAATATCCCGATATTAATCTGGCACAACTTTACCAAAGTCTGACAACGATTAGTTCACTATAATGTTTTATTTAATGTATTGTATACATATATCTTGCAAAATATCTCGCAATTCACGTGCTAACGAGTGACGAAAAATAATTACATTTTAAATGTGGGATTTATGCAAATTTCACGTATCCCAGAGTTGTGATGATCTAACGCGACATGTTTTTTAATTGAATCGCATTCTTCGGATGTTTTCATTCGAAATTGGGAAAGTTTTCACTTGAATGGCACATATACTTCCAACAGACATATCTGACGCGGATGGTACTCTAATATCGCTTTGAATTGGACGCGAGATCAAATCTGTTACGCGCGGATGTCAAATGCATGAATACGTGATTGCAACTTGTAACATTTTTATACGTGTGTTTCTCCGAGTTTGTTATTGTATATGTTTCAATTAATTCTCATCCGTCAGTAAAGGACGCACGATGACGAGTTGCGTCATTAGCGATAATAAATTTTATCGTCTATGCGCAGCTAATCATTCGCGCGAACCTGAGGTTTTATCAGGATTAAATACGTCGGGTTAAAACCGTTACAAATTGTTCAGAAAACGATCCACCCTTCTCGTGGTTTTCTCAAGCCGCGTGCTTACTCAGTTAGCGCTAACACGATTCTAATCATCGTTAAATCTATTCCGGTCGCACGAATGTATATATACGCGAGATCGAAACAGGAGATGGGAAACGTTTGCTAAAATATCGATAAAAATATTATCCGGTGATAGTCGCGTTATTGCATCAGTAATGTCATTGATTCGGTCTGGAATCGACCAACTTATAGACGGTCATAAATATATTTATAGTTATTTCGCCTGAAGATTTGGAGAGATGTGTTTCTCCGTGACGACGTAAAAGTGAGCT